AATTTAAAGTTACATTATTTACGTATTTTGTGCATTAGAATAACGTGGCTGAAAACATATAGGCCTTGTCGAAAACAAGAGAGTTGCACGAACAAAATTTTGACAGGACATAGCTAATACAATGCGAAATATCGCCTTAATGTTAAAAATGCTGTCACCGCCGTTCTTGGTGGTGAAATTTCGAAATATGTGAAATTATTCAATTTTCGTGGCTGAAAACATACATACAGGTATGCATTGTCGAAACTAAGAGAATTGCACGAACAAAATTTGGTCAGGACATAGCTAATACAATGCGAAACATCGCCTTAATGTTAAAAATGCTGTCACCGCCGTTCTTGGCGGTGAAAATTAGAAATATTTTAAATTATTCAATTTTCGTGTCTGAAAACATACATAGTAGGGTGGCCCAAAAAAAAACGAATATTTTGTAAAAAAAAGGGGTGACCACTGTCCAGTTGTACACCACTGGTTGAACCTTAAAGCTCATATTTTAGGGAATGTAAGGCCTACTATCATACATTATCTGTACCAAATTTTATTGAGATTGGTTAATAGATTCCGGAGATATAAACAAATAATCTAGAGATCTATCTGCCCTCGAAGTTTCCTGCATAAAATTCGGACCACCCTGTATACATCAAAATATGGTTTACGTTGACAGGTTTTCGATGTTCATTTGTTTTCTCTGCTATACAATACAGTGATGCTTCGTTTTATTTCATTGATTATTTGGGTTTTTTATCACCTACAAATGTAAAAAATCACCATTTTAAAGAGATCTATATGCCCTCGAAGTTTTCTGCATAAAATTCGGACCACTCTATACAGGGTGTATCTAAATAACACCGAAAAAATTCAAGGGGCGATTCTCCGATGAAAATTAATAGGGGTCTTTGGTATAAAATTTTTTGAAAAAACCCTCCCCTGAAAAGTTACGCCCCTCCTAAAATTACAAAAAAAAATTGTTTTTCTTTTTTATCTTCCACGTACATCAAGCTAAAGAAACCAAACTTGGTGAACATTATCTGTCAATAAAACTACACTTTTTGAATTTTTTTCAACCCTGAACTATTTTTGTAAGGGGTTGAAATAATCAACCCCTATGACATTTTTTCTTATAATTTTTTTTTCGATAAAATTTTTTCCTTTTAAAAAATATGTCTAAAAAACCCCATTCATTTACTAACTTTTTGATCTCTTCAAGTTTCTTCGAAAAGTTAAGGATTTATGACAAAAAAAAATAAATGTATTGTAATGTATTTTTAAAAAGATGAGCTGTTTAACGCGAGTGTATTTTGCCGAAAGATCTAGTGGCCTGTTCTTTACAATGGAATCCGTAGAAACAAATGTCAATGTCATTTATTGTCATATTAAATAACATTTTATTAAAAAACACTCAACCAAATAGTTGACCTATGATTCTACTAGGCTAAGAAGTTTGGAACTTAGACTAAAAGTGAACAAATGATGAATAATGTTATAACAGTAACAAAAAATAAAAATCTGTCGGATATTGACAATACAATCTACAAAAAATGTTGAAAATGATTGCCTTCAGCTTCAATACAAGCATCTACTCTTGTTCTCATAGAATTGCGTATGCGTTCAAATATTCCTGGTGAATTTTTTATCGTTTCACACCCTGCTACAATGCGGTTTCGCAAATCATTGATATCTTCAACTGGCCTTGAGTAGATCAAAGATTTCAGATATCCCCATATGCAAAAATCCAAAGGATTAAGGTCAGGGGAGCGGGCTGGCCAATTTACATATCCTCCTCGACCTATCCATCGATTGGCATACACCTCATCCAAGTGACGTCTTGCACGTATACTAAAGTGGGCTGGTGCACCGTCGTGCATAAACCATAAACGTTGCCTAATTTGAATGGGAACTTCTTCAAGAATAATAGGTAATTCTTCGAGAAGATGACAATATGAGTCACCATCTAATCGTCGTGGAAGAAAATAGGGACCAATTAAATGATCGTCGATAATTCCGAGCCACACATTTAATGAAAATTGATACTGATGATTTCCTTCAAAAAAGTCATGAGGATTTTCCTCAGCCCAAATATGATTGTTACGAAAATTTCTAATACAGTCTCTTGAGAAATTCGCCTCGTCAGTAAATAAAATATTTCTTAAGAACTGCGGCGCTTGGCCGATCATATTAATAAGCCATTGACAAAAAACCACACGTGGTAAAAAATCTCGAATCAGTAACGACTGCACCCGTTGGAGATGATAGGGATATAACTGTTGTTCTTTTAAAATTCTAAAAACTACCGAATGGCTTACATTTAGGACACGAGCTATTTTCCTGGTACTAGTTTCTGGGGATTCCTCAATTAAATTAAGTACGGCTTCATCGACAGCTTCAGTTCTAACTTCTCGGCTACGGCCACAGTCATGACTTCTCTTTTCAAATTTTCCAAGTTCCCGCAAGCGTTGGTGAATATTTGTGAACGTAGTATGGTGGGGTAATCTACGCTCTGGGTACTGTTCAGCATAAAGTCTTTGCGCTTCCAATGCATTACCGTTAGCATACCCATATGTAAAATGCATATCTGCCATTTCTAAATTCGAATAGTTAACCATATTTTCGGTTTATTAACTAATATTTTCTACACAAAATCATGAAACTTGTGAAATAGTAAGAAACAGTAACAATAAATGACATTGACATTTGTTTCTACGGATTCCATTGTAAAGAACAGGCCACTAGATCTTTCGGCAAAATACACTCGCGTTAAACAGCTCATCTTTTTAAAAATACATTACAATACATTTATTTTTTTTTGTCATAAATCCTTAACTTTTCGAAGAAACTTGAAGAGATCAAAAAGTTAGTAAATGAATGGGGTTTTTTAGACATATTTTTTAAAAGGAAAAAATTTTATCGAAAAAAAAATTATAAGAAAAAATGTCATAGGGGTTGATTATTTCAACCCCTTACAAAAATAGTTCAGGGTTGAAAAAAATTCAAAAAGTGTAGTTTTATTGACAGATAATGTTCACCAAGTTTGGTTTCTTTAGCTTGATGTACGTGGAAGATAAAAAAGAAAAACAATTTTTTTTTGTAATTTTAGGAGGGGCGTAACTTTTCAGGGAAGGGTTTTTTCAAAAAATTTTAAACCAAAGACCCCTATTAATTTTCATCGGAGAATCGCCCTTTGAATTTTTTCGGTGTTATTTAGATACACCCTGTATATGGAATCCGGAATCACAATACTAAGTAAAATTATTCCTGCCATTTGTAATAATAAAAATGCTCTTGGCAATTTTTGGACGACTGCACTGCTCAAAATTGATGCATCTTATAACCATACTGATCACTTTTAATGCTCATGTTTTCAACTACAAAACGTAAACGTAAAAAATTAAATATTTTTTTGTTATTAGAAATGAAAGATATGTCTCTACTTATGTGCTAGAAAGATGTTCCAATTTGACATTTTCTTAAAGTTGGCTGAATTTCATTCCAAATAAAAAATTACATCTGTCTATCTGCGATCATATGTTGCTGTAAGAGCCAGCCACAAAACTGAACTCTGTAGAGGTGGTCCTACGGTTGCACATGAAATTTGTACAAGTGATTTTCCCGTAAAACTTTTTTTGGCTCGGTTCAACTTGCTCGAGTATACAAAACTTGTTCCTTCACGATTTACCCGCAAATCACATGTGTCTTTGCCCCTTTACACAACCCGTAAAGAAAAACAGTCAGCATATAACTGGGATGCATCATTAGCATTCTGACGACACTTAAGATACCCATAAATTAATAACATGTTAACTAATTCATTATTTTTATAAACGAAAGCAAAATTATTTAACCAGGCAATAAAGAGAAAAATATCTAGATTTTCGCGGCCCGGTCCGATTTTAATGCGGTTTTTTGCATTTTGTTCAGAAAGACCGTCGGAAAAAAGTCCCGCCTTTTTTATTATCCGGAAGTGGCGGAAATGCATCGCGGGTGCATAAAGTGCATCTAGAAGTGCATCGCATCCGAGAAACTTGCCAAAGTGCACGAAATACCGCAAAAATTGGTACTCGGGGGTTTTCGGGGGCGCAGAATTCGAATATGCATATATCCAGCACCCGCGAAAACCCCCGAGATACATTTTCCCAGTCATTTCGAAAACTTTAGATTTCATTCCCCCCCACCCCCTCCTCCACGAGCACAGGGGATATTTTTCACTCTCGAATTCGGAATCAGCACCCGCGAAAACCCCCCGAGGTCCATTTTTCCAGTCATTCGGAGAACCTTGCAATCCACGTGCCCCCCGCGCCCCCCAGGCGCCCGGGAGTCGCCCCCCGGGGGGTCGGGTGGACTGGATATATGCATATTCGAATCCTGCGCCCCCCAAAACCCCCGAGTACCAATTTTTGCGGTATTTCGTGCACTTTGGCAAGTTTCCCGCATGCGATGCACTTCTAGATGCACTTTATGCACCCGCGATGCATTTCCGCCACTTCCGGATAATAAAAAAGGCGGGACTTTTTTCCGACGGTATTTCTGAACAAAATGCAAAAAACCGCATTAAAATCGGACCGGGCCGCGAAAATCTAGATATTTTGGGGTCAATCGTTCTTTATTGCCTGGTCTAGAAGTGACAGGAACACACAACATGTGTAAGAAGATAAAACTAATCACAAAAAAAAACTAAGTTTCTGTGCCGTTTGTTTCAAATATACCGGTGTTATTTAAAAAATAGAGTTTGATAAAAAACATGCTTTGAATAGTTCCACACTCTGTTAAATATGACTCAACTTAGGACTGACCCTGTAAATCTCAGGACTAAAAACCTCTTACATTTAAAAGACACTTTAGTGGCTTAAAATATAATTTTATTTTAATCCAGTTAACTGCTCTTTATGTATTATGAGAACCTCCACAATGTCCTCTTTTTTAAACTAACAAATCTGGTAACCCTACTTGCTAATGACCTGTGAATGTGTATTTTCTTCTATGAGTAATTACCGTTTCATTTACAGGTAGCAGCGTGGCTTCGTGCGACCATGCCAGTGTTGCCAGGAACGGTACTACTTTCTCCGGAAGAAGTATGAAGTAAGTGAAAAATTAGCCCGCAGAGTATACTTTTTCTAATTAATACGGCAAGGTAATTTAACTGCATACTAAAACGTAAAAATCCAGGAAACCTGCAATACCGGTAGCACTTAGGTTGTTATTGTTTGCTCAAATAGAAGTCGAATTGCAAGTTTACGGAGTTAAAGCTATGAATTTAACACACTTGAGGAGATATGCAGAGTTTATGGATAGTAAGGCATCACGTTAAAATAGAGTTATTAATTATCATTAAATTAAGTACACTGGGGAATCAATTCATGGAGAAATTTAATTTGAGTTAATTTAAAATGTAATTATTTACTTAATTGGTTAATTAATATAAATCAACTTGCAGTTTTACCCTTCCTGACATAAACATTAAAATATTTTTAAGTATTTTTTAACTTTTACTTGTAACGTGTTTAAAAAATATATGCTGATTGGAAGTACCAGAGATATTCACTCCTATCATTTGTGCATCATTTCTAAGGTATTGGTCATTAATATATCTTTATTTCTTTTTTTTTCTAAAATGCCGCATAAACTAGTAATTTGAATTGTAAAATATAGTTACAATAGAAATAAAGAATTTATATCATGTTTGTCACAAGCCTTTGCCTTTGATACAAAAATCTTGATACTGACACAAATATGAAAATATTTGCTGAATTCTAAATGACATATAAATTATTCAGTCTCTTATTCAGAAATAAATCTGAAAGTGAAGATTAAGTCCTCTAGCCAGTATTAATATTAATTGTGTATGCTGATCTGTGCCCTTCTTGTCCTTGATTTTATTTATAAGTATCCGGACCATTCTAGACCTGTGTATCTCTAAATGGTAGTATTTAAATCTGTTGTGTTATGTTTACCTCTTAAATATATCTAGCGTTTGTTTTGTTAGATACTCAAAAGAGTAGGTGCTATGAAAAATTAGAAAAACCAGTGAAGATTTTTATTACACAACCAAATCCATGTTAATGCGGACTATTTTAGATGAAGTACTTCTTCATCTCATAAGCAGTGACATGTTTTTTAATCATTCTACATAATCTCAAACTGTTGAAATACCTTTAAAGATGTATATTACAACGTTAGAGCAAAATGAGAGACAGCTGCCAAATAAAAAAGACGAAGCTTATAGTATGAGATACAGTCGCATACAGAAGTATTTGGTGCTAGCCTCCTGGCTGGGACAAAATACAGTAATCATAACACTAATATTTTAACTTTTCTAAATAACGAGCGTTCAAATAAAAACGTGGTCGAAGTTGGCTCTGACACATTGGACGTAGGGAGTAGCTTATAGCGACCAACTTAACCTCATTTCTCAACGAGCTGTATAGCAGCTGTCAGTTTCAATAACGTTAATGACTATATAACTTTATTTTAAAGAATAATCGTGATAACAATAACAAACAATTAAAGGAGCTGCGGAAAGTGTCCCCCTCCTTGTTATAACAATAAATTAAAGCAGCTGCTTGTTCCAAGCATTTTTCACACCTGTTCCTCAAAGAATTAAAGACATTTTCTAAGATGCTCGGAGTATTGTTAATTTCACGAATCTTGTCTATAAGTCGAGCCTGCAGATGGTTTAAATCAGGAATAGGCAGTTCAAAAATAGTGTTTTTAAGGTAAGGCCACAAAATGAAATCACACGACGTAATATCACATGACCTCGGTGGAAATTCATGTTCAGCATTGAGACTTTGAAAGTAAAAGTTTGTAATTTCGTTTTCTTCCAGCTGGTTAACAAAAGGAGCGATAATTTCTTCTCTATACCTTTGCGCAGTAAGAGTACCATTAAAAAAATAGGTCCATAAATCCTCCTTCAAACTCCAATTTTTTTGAGCGTGTAGAGGGCTTTCGACAAAAAAGTTATCTGGTTTTTCAGAAGACCACATTCTCATATTCTGTGAGTTTACGTAACCACTTAAATGAAACCAGGCTTCATCAGAAAAAAAGGTGATATTATGAAGTTCACCGTAGTTGTTTAAAAACCATTCACAAAATACAGCCCGTCGCGGAAAATCAACTTCATGAAGTTCTTGCTGACAAGTTAAACGATAGGAGAACAAACGCAAATCTTTTTTTAACACTGTGTGGCAGGTACCGTCTGATACTCCCACCATTTGTGATAAAACACGTACAGAAGTTCTTGGCGCATTTTCCATTATTTGTTGGACATTTTCTTTTAATTCTTCAGTCCGCTTTTTAGGTCGGCCGCTTCCTTCTCACGAAAAACATTAACACAACGCTGAACTGCACTTTGAAAAATTTTGTACTCAACAACGCCGGGAAATTGATTTTGAAATTCTATGAAACATTCCTCAATAGAATACTTCCATATTCCATCAATCTTGCGTCCATTTCTAAAGTAGGATTCTATGATAAACACTTTTTGTTCTTGAGAAAACACCATTTTAAACGCTTTTTAAAACGAAAATATTCAAATTGATAGCGGCGATATAGCGCTTTGACAGATGACGTTTAGTTCATTTGCTATACGCTACGCCCTACGTCCAAATTTTCAGAACCAACTTGACCACGTTTTTATTTGAACGCTCGTTATAATATGGAGTAGTTCCTATGAACATGGATCGAAAATAATTTCTTTCTGAGAGGGTGTTAAAAATGTAATTTAAAAAAAGAATTTTCAACTTTTGAATAATCAATTCAATTGAAATTTATATATATTGTGATTAATGTTTTGCAGTACATTTTATTCACCGCAGTGGTGTAGGTACAGAAAGAATCTGTTACCTACCAATAACAGGTTTGTTTGCGGAATTTTCCCAAAAAAGTGTAAAGCTCTAGGAACATATTTTTAAAGTGTAACTAATCACGCTCGAAGTAAATCATCAAGAACATCAAAACAGACAAAATTTGTAATTTTTGGAGCAGCAATTGGATTTTCTCCTTTTACTGAAAGTCTAATAATTAAAATAAAAAGTGTTCATGTAGAATTAAATGGATAATTTAAAAATTCGATCAAAGTTTTAAAAAAATCCATATACGTACAAATGTTTTGAAGAAATATACCTTTCCGTACGCCACTGATACATGGAAAGAAATGCTAGTAGTTTTTTTCTTTTTATTATGAGTAACTAAATGTTAGGTTTCCGATCACAATCCCAGTTGACTAATTTCTCGGAATAATGTAAACGTTATGATTAAATAAAAAAAAATTAAAGCACAAAATTTTGTGGTTACCTACTTTACACTAAGCAAATTTAAATGTTTTGTATAGTCAAATATTTTTTTAACGTCATTTTAATAATATTATCAGTTAATGAATGCCTCTAACTTCTAAAAATATAAAAATATGAAAGTATGTCACAAAAATCTTGCGTATTTATTTATATCATAAAAAATAATCCATTTATTTTAGAAATTACTAATATAAAACCCGATTGTATTTAGTACATTTGAATAATAAATGTTTTATTTCATTATGAGTTATTTTAATGAAATTTGTTAAAAAATGGAAGTGGTTATATAAATAAATAAAGAATTGGGTTATATTTTTTCCTGTAATATTTTTTACACATTTGCGTTTACTAACTTCTACAAAGTATTGAGTTTTCTAATTATTCGTACAGGATATAATCATATAACTTTATTTTCTAGTTTTCCACATCTGTAACGAAATAAAATAAACCTGCCTTTCGTTAGGGGTCGTTTTAATAAACTTTCAGTTGTTGAATTATAAATTTAAACATTGTGGATTGGAATGTCAGTCTTTGTTTTCCATGATTTTATTTATCTATACTTTTCAGATTAATTAAAAAAAATCTTAATTTTTTTAACAAATGTAGGGATGTTAACGGAAGAAAAGAGAATATGTTTCTTCTCTATGTGGATTGCTTTTCCAAATATACTTCTTAAGAAACGAAATTAATAGTTATTTGACTATTAACAGGAATTAAATATTTTATATTATACAAAATTACACAAATGAGAATTTTTAAAGAAAAGAGAAGTAATAATAAAAATGTAGTTAAAAATTGGACTATTTAAAATCGAAAAAATTGAGATACATTTTCAGACAAGTTTATTTATTCTATTAAAAATTACAGGTTTCATATTAAAATTAGCATCATGCAAATTATAGACAATCTATACAACAATGCGGTTATTATTTCCCTACATAAATATTCATAGGTAGGTATTTAGACACCAAAGGATAGTTGATATTCGTTCCAGATATAGACAATTTCATTGTAAAACAACTTAAAATGTTTTCAATTAATCTTAATTTTACTTTCATTTTCAATTATAATCCCCATGTTTTTATTAAGAGCTTAAAGTGAAATCATACTCACAATTATTCAGACTTTCATCCATCACTGTTTCTACTATTTTATAATGTCAAACCAGAATCTCTTTGAAATTAATACAGTTGTCTTGTACGTGAAAATGAAAAGAAGTTTAAACTGCCAAAAAAAAGGTTATTTGATGGTCTTCAATCTTCTTCGACAGACTAGTTTCAGTGGAGGTTTTGTGCCTCTTGACTTTTTGCGAAAACTTTGGCAGCAGATTTGATGTATTACACTTGTCCAGCTTCTTCATGAAATACTTCATGAATTAATTTATGAAGAAATTCGCAATGTAAAACAGGTATAGATCAAAAACTGTGTTTAGTATCCAATTTTTAAAGAATCATTGAAAACTTCGGAAACGTTTTACAAAAAAGTGTTTTTTTTTATTTATGTATAGGAAGTATTAAATTAATTTATACAAAAATTCAAGTGTTTCACATTACTTGACCTTTTTATTAAAGTTATAGTTATATTCAATATTCTGGTTGTTTAGTTATTTTTGAAAACCCTATAAATTATACATGGTTGTAAAGAGAATTTCCCCTTTTTTCTAGTGAGGCAATAATTCACAATGGCATCCAGAAGAAAAACAAAAGTTAGCTACCGCTCAGCACATATTTTTAGAGACCCATTAATACTGACAGCAAAAATCGATTTCTCACATCATTTAATATCAGACTACACATTTTTGTCCCAAAATTTTGAAAAACAAGTGAAATACGACTAAAAAAAGAAATAGTATAAAATCGGTTTTCTTCGAATATCTTCGAAACTATTCGAAATTTTCTAAATTTAAAAACGAATCCGTGATCGCCATAAAATTAGTCCATTTAACCATTTCTGCAACTCTTAAAATAAGAAAAATACCTATATAGGACAATTAAAAAGTTGTAACCCTGTATATCAACTTCTTTGACCTTGTTTGACCGAGCTGTCTATAGCTTTTTTGAAATTATTCATTCAAATATAACGATCAAACAAAATTATGTAAGTAATGTCATAGACAAGTAATTCCAACAATAATTATCTTAATTATCTTAATCACTATGCCGGAATATCAGAGAGTGAAATCCATTCCTGCATATCCTTAGAATATTTTTCTGTTATCTGATTCAACCATGATTGAAGAGATAATTAGATGTAACATTAACAAATGAACAGCCTGTGTAATCTTCATATTATTTTCTACTAACTTCGACCATACTGACGTTGAATTTCAAGCTTTCATGGTCTAGTGAAATTTCTCTTAATTAATATTTTTTCACGCTATAATTCCATCAGTTACAGTAAAGTAATAGTAGCAGGCGATAGTATAAGAGAAATAGTTAATGAAGCTTTATACGTATACAAAATGGTCTTGTTTTTATTAGTGTACATCTGGGTTTGCACAAAAGTTATTGATAATGGTTGAGAAATTGTTAATTAGTGAAAATATAGTGTAAAAATACATTCGTTGCTATTGAAATATAAAATGTGAGCCAGGTTCACTCTCAATAACAATTGAAGGTGTTTTAAGAAAAAGGTCAAAACACTTTTCTTTGGTTATGGCACTGTAAGTAATAAGTTGAAAGATTGTCTTTCAATATACAAGGATTTTTTTTTATTTTAGTAGGTGCCACCAAGTTTAAAAAATAAGATTCCATAGTCAAGTAACGGAATACGAACGATATTTTATTTGTTTGCTATTCGTTCTGTTTTTTTAACAGGTTAAGCATTCCCAAGACTATGTATGTATGAACAGATTAGAACAGTTTTCATTCTAATGACACATTTTTGTGCCCAAGGCAATTTATAATGTACCAACTGCACCGTACTTGACTAAAATTGAGACACTTAGGACATTAAAATGTTAGTATGTAATAAAACATATTTTCAATATTTTCGTTTTTTTTGCAAATGACTGAATATTCAGTATAATGAGGTTAGGTTTCAGTTTACTTAAATAGTATATTTGAAAGTTGTTTCAAATAAGTGACAGAAAAGCTATTTTTATAAAGTTTCTGTTCTAAACTCATAATTAAAATAAAATAATTTGTAATTTAATATTCAAAACCGAGTAATTTTTGTTAATAGGTATCTTGCTTTTCAGTGCTGAGACATCGAAATTTTCAATTATCTTAAAAGCTATATCCAAAGATTGTTATTTCGATAAAATGTACAATATGATTAAAAAACTCCAATATATATTTTTTAATGCCATGCTCCCATATCTACGCCACTGATTATTTATTTATTATCCGGTAAAACTATTAATTAAATTAACACAATCTGAAATTATTTGCACTACTCCTGTAAATTTTAAGTTATTATTTCAAACTTTTTTAGAATTATTAAGAAATTTTTAAATTCTATTTTTAATCCAATAAAGATGTAATTTTATTAAAAACAATCACACTCGAACTCCTGGTACGACTTGCGCCATGAGGGTAGCATCCTAAACATTTTTTTAGAGCAAAAATTTAAAAAGTTGTAGAGGATCAAATTCTGAATAACTTTTCCTTATAAAATTTTTGTTGTATCTCTAATACTTAAGAGTTACTGCGCATTATATAAAAAAAATTGCGCACGCTGCAGTGGTGGTTTTGTAAACATGTTTTTACAAAGGCAACAGTGGAAGTGGGGCAAGCGATGTTAGGCTGTCATGTGTTAGCTGACCGGCTGAATCAGTTCATGTTTAGTTTTCATTCATTTATTTAAGAAAGTGTTGCAAACATTCGAAACAATAGCTGAACCTATATTGTTTACATGCATTCAGTGAATGCGTCACCACATCGACTATATTCGGTTTTGGCAAAGCAGCACAACTTTATTAGATTTATTTAGAACTTTGCAATAGGCCCAACCGACCAAAATTTTTGAAAATTTTCTTGGTTTACTATGCTTATTACTCTAGTATGATTTGCAACACAAATTACAAACTACTCTGTGTAATTGCACAAAATAGAAACTGCCAAAGAGAAAAACGAGAAATGTTTCCATTTGCCTTTCTACCATGCTTTACTAAAGAAGCATTAGACCGGTATCCCACACCGACTGGCCCAATATTAATATTCCTTGCGCTAATGGGTGATTAAGTGCTAAAAATCAATTTTTCTTTGTGTCGTCAGTCGAAAACGAGGCTGCTTATACAAATTTTTCCAAACACGTGCTTTCTTTTTTGTGCTGCAGTTAGTGATACCTCTGATATTGAAACAAATGTAATCAAATTACTTATACGCTTGTATCTGGTAAAATATAACAAAAATCAATATACAGGGTGTTCGGAAAAGTGGGTACAAAATTTAAGGAAGTGAAAGTAGAGCCAACAGTAGTAAAAATTTCATATATACAGGGTGTCTCATAATTAGCTGCCAACCCTGAACAGGCCGATTCTATGATCAAAACTAAGTAAAAAAGTTCATATGAACATGGGTCCGGAAATGCTTTCTAATGGCACAGAGACCCATTGAAGAGGGAGGAATGGAAATCATTTTTTTGCAATATCTCTCAATCGCGTTGTGATAAATGAATGAAATTTGGTATACACAGCTAAATTTTGATGAGCAATTTTATGGACTAATCCATTTATTTCCACAAGGTCCATTGGGGTGGGTACGGGGTGGCCCTTGGTACTTTGCGTGTGTAACTTTTTCATCTTTGACTTTTTAACAAATTGGACAGCAAATTCCGTTTTCCCGAACTGTTTTACGTTGAAAAGGTACTATTGTTTCAAATCGTTATCTTTAACGGTTTCTGTGAAAATCGCTCGAAAAAACGCGAATCGATAGGTTAGGAACATTTTATCTGAAAGATTTTTCAACATCAGAGTAGGCGACTTTCTGAAAAAAGAACCGTTTTGAACGGATCTACAGAGTTCTGTATTGGGCTCATTAGTTTTTCGCATTTAATCCAATGACATCCAGCTTCTAGTAAGTAGTTTCACGGACGACATCAAGTAGATATACGCTAATCTCATCATTCATCATCAGTCTCTCTGAAACGTTCCATTAGCAACTGGTGGCTGCCTAGTTGTCATTCACTGGAATACCTTCATTCACTAAATATCTCTAAATATGTAGTCCTTCATCTTGGTAATACAGGTATATCGAAATTTATATCAATGTAATGCACAATTAGATAATTGTCTACAACGTCCACATATAACGATTTAGGTATTTCAGTTAACTCTAAACTGTCATGGTGAAATCATATGTACTTGACGTGCAAATACTAGACTATCTATATTTCGTAAAATTTTCTCTAATACACCTTTCAAAAATTACAAATTGCAAACTACACTTCAGTTGTTGAATACGTTGGTCCGGTGTGGTGATCAGACAGCGTTGCCAGATTTTTTTTTCAGGCAAAGCGGGATTTTGAAACTTTTTGAATAAAAAAGCGGGATTCTTTTGTCCAAAAACAGGGTTTGTATAATTGATGCCCAAAAAAAAAGGTTTCCGGATATCTGGGAAACAAATCGACATCTAAAAAAAAGGGACGTAATCAGGAAAGCAAATATCTATTTAATAACAGACCTGGAGAAAATAATTGATGTCTAAAGAAAAACAAAACAAGAGCGAGAAAAGCGGGACTGATCCTGTCCCTCGCGGGACATTTAATTTTGGGTTAAAAATCGGGACGTCTGGCCACGCTGTGATCAGATCTCATCTATGATTATAACTTATTGAAAATGCTCAACATTTAGCAATAATGCTTTCATTAGAACGCTTGAGCCCCTCTCACATCGAACGTATAGCAACAGTTAAGCTCGCAAATTTCCAACAGCTACGTCTTCCTGGTGATTTAATTATAACTTTCCTGACCTTAAGATATAATTTTGGAAATCTAACTGTGCTGTGCTCTCAATACAGACAACCATTACAAATTGAAACTGAAGAAAGATAACTTTAAATCCAAAACAAGGTAGTTTTTCCTAACGAACTGATTTTTTTCCATGGAACTACCAGGAAAACCTCATGTATATTTTTTCTTTTGCTTAGTGGCATAATAGATTTATCCATTATCCTAATCTGAATGGTAATACTAAGGATCTTCATTCGTTACAGATACGTTTTCCACTGCAACCAGCATGCAGGAGCCACCGGAGAAGACTACCTAACCCCCACCCAAAGAGCCCACCGGCAAGTGAAGAAACTCAAGTACCTCCTGCAGCAAGCCAAAAAGGATCTGGAACAAAAGGACAGTGATATTTTGAAATTAACCAAAGAAGTTGTGGAACTGAGGCTTTACAAGGCCGCACTGAACTCTCCTGAAGACAAGTCCAATTCAAGGTGAGTGAAATTGTTTATCACATCGTTAGCTAATTCCAATCAAAACTGTCCTTAAGCGCGTTATGTCTGTTTACAATTGTAAACCTATCTATTGTTTATAAAACAATTCAGTTAGACATGATTAACTGGCATAAAAAATGTGTGTGAATGTTAAGAGAAAACAAAAACGTGACTGAAATCCCTGATTTAATTGTTTAGCGAACTTTGTTGACTATCAACAGCTTTGTAAACCTATAAATTTCTTTAATACTTTCTTAGTCTAGCAGATCCACTTGTTTACATTCCCTACACTTAAAAATATTGTTTCAAAGAGAAATAATTAAACAAATACTTGGTACGTATCACTACCTTTAAATCAAGAATGCATTTACATAAATTAGCAGATCACAGTAAATTCTTATGCCATCAAGATTTACTTATTTACTTAATTGAGGAAATTTTATTAGTTTAAGATTAGAATATTTTCATATTAAAAAAAAACTCTAGTTTCAAGATTTTTAGAGAATCTGAGAAAAAAAAATTGATTTTTTTTTTCTTAAAATTGAAGTAGGTATATCTAATGCAATATTGTGGGAAAACTCGATAAAATTTCTTCTTTTTCATTTTGATAATGATTACCATGTTTAGGAACGATAAACGTTTTCCTTTAATTCATTCCAAAACATTGACCACTTGGAACAAAAAAACGATTTGATGCATCAACTTGTCAACTTAAAGGATTACTGTAGGTACAATGAGCTGTAAAAATTTCTCTTAACATTAGTATTTCCATAAATATTTGTAAATTAGCGGTAGATTGAAATAATGTTTTTTATTCGAAAACTATGAGAGGTTTTTGTAGAGAATCTACTCAAGTTTTCAAAACTGCCCTTATGCTATAATTTCTTGCAGAGATATCGATGATTAAAGACAAAATGTTATTTTTCATTCAACCGTCAATATCTCGGCAACCGATAGTCGCTCGGAAACCTTTCAAAACTCAAATTGAAGCTCAATAAATAAGCTAACTAACCTCTGTATTAATTGAATTCGCAAAAATATTTTCTCAGTTCATGGACAGTTCTAAAAAAAAAAAATTGGGATGTTTTTTCTTTTGATTGCTCGATAACCGTAGCTCAAAAAGGTTTTGTCTAAAGATCTTGAAACTAGAGACCTAAAGCTTCAAAATGCTTTTTGTTTATCTGATACGACCATTTTTAAATACAGCATTTCGAAAATCACGAAAATATTCATGAAAATTTTTTGCTCCTTGAATTTTTTCCAGTAGTGCACATACGTGTCCAAGACAGTTTATGTCGCAGAAATAATGGGCCTCTCGGATTTGAGTAGGACATGCGATAGAAAAAAATGTAAAAAATTTACATGTTTTTTTTTGGGATTCACCCTGCAAAATTATTATTATTCAGAAAACTGAAATATTTCGTTATAACGTTCTTGCTTCTCACTAATTTTAGATAATTTTTAGCTAAAAGCTATGTTATTTGAGACTGCTTCTACTAATATACAGGGTGTTAATGACAAGTTTTGCCAAACTTTAATGGCGTATTCTCCAGATGAAAATAATCAAGTTTTGCCCCATAAAAATTTTTGATAGGATGTTTCGCTACGGAGATACTAGTTTCAAATATTTATATTATTTTTCCTGTAACTTCAGAACACTACAGAAATTTTATCACTCAATCTTTTTTGCCAGTGAAGTTACAGGAAAAATAATATAAAAATTTGAAACTTTTAACACCCTTTATCTCCGTATATAGGGAAGCATCGTACCAAAAATTTCCATAGGGCAAAACTTGATTTCATCGGTAGAATATGCCATTAAAATTTGGCTAAACTTATCACTTACACCCTGTATAATGTACAGGCTGATCCATTTTCGGTGGGATTTCAGGGTATTTCAGAAACTACTAAAGATATGATAAATCTGATACCACGTTCTCGAGCTCGATTTTCATGGCAAACTCAATTGTCAAATCAGAAATTTGATATGTTCATTTGTTTCTGAGTTACAGGGCATTTCTCGTTATTGTGACACTTTTGAATATGTCTGTATCTCAGCTGTTAAATAAGGTAGAGTTAAAGAGAAAACTGCTCAAGACTAATTCTTTGACGTAGAATTGAAAGCCGGTATTAGATTTTTAGTAGGTCTTAAGATTCTAGAGTTATGACCCAAAGTTATATTTTTTTAAATGGAAATCGTAGCTGGTTATGACCTAAAAAATGTAGATTTTTTTTGCTTTTCAGCAATATATCACATGCTGTAGTTATTTTTACAAACACAGAACATACGGGGTGTTTCATATATAAATTCGAATCTTTTTTACATTTTAATATGGCTGGCTGTGAAAATACATAAAAAACTATAATTCTTACTTTTAAAAAACTCATATCTGTTGTAAAAATATAAAGTTTATTTAAAATATGTATTACAGATAAGAAAACACAGAGTTTTCATATTTTTATTCCACTTCAACTCAAGTTACAATATTAAACATAAATTAAACAATAGTAAATACCTACATCATCATCTAAATGTTCAAATTGCCGTCGCTCAACTGTCACATATTTCGCGCATCTTCTGGCAACGCTTCGGAGAGCATTCATTAAATGTATATTAGAAATATTATTAAAAGAATTTTCAACATTTCGTCGAAGTTCCTCGATAGGGTAAAAAGGAATTTTAAATATAATGTATTTTACAAAACCCCATCTGATCGGTCCGTTTGTTCCTATCCACCTATCTCCTAAAATTTCGTTAGTATTATATTATCATACGAGTATATGTTGTGCATTTAAAATAAACGTCATATTTTTACAACAGATATGAGTTTTGTAAAACTAGGAATTATAGTTTTATATGTATTTTCATAGCCAGACATATTAAAAAGGAAAGACATATATAATTTATATATAAGACACCCCGTATCTCCTGTGTTTGTAAAAATAACTATAGTACCTATGTGATATATTGCTAAAAAGCAAAAAAAATCTCAATTTTTTTAGGCCATGGTCAGCTACGATTTCCACATAAAAAAATATAACTGGGTCATAACTCCGAAATCTTAAAAATCTACAAAAAATCTAATACTGGCATTTAATTCTACCCCAAAGAATTAGTCTTAAGCAGATTTCAATTTAACTCTAACTTATTTAACAGCTGAGATACAGACATGATCAAAAATGTGACAATAACAAGAAACGCCCTGTAACTGACAGTCGAGTTTGCCATGAAAGTCGAGCTCGAGAACGTCGCGTCGTGTCAGATTTATCATATCTTCAGTAGTTTCTGAAATACCCTGAATTCTCATCGAAAATGGACCAGCGTGTACAGTGTTACCTACCGAAAATGATTACCCTGGGAACTTTCTTATTTTACTTAACGAAAAAACATTTCTTATAAAACTTGTAGGTCTTCAAAATTAATTGAAGAGAAAACTTATTTACTTTTGAAATAAGTATTTAGTTAGCGAGTATTTTTTGAAAACGTTTCCTATAAAGGTACTTATTCTGCTATGACAATAAATTTCAGTTTTTCCCGAATATCTCAAAATTTATAAGATGCAATAAGCTATAATTTTTTATCTCACAATAACCAAGATTTAACGCCAAATATGAAATTTGAGATACTTACATTACATGCAAAGTCAGTAAATCGACCCTTTCTTGTAAATCAAGCATTAAACCAAAACAAACACGTTCAAAAGTAGACCAAATTTGACGCAATAGGCCTTCGTACCCGTGGGAAATTGTGTAGACTTTCATGTATAATGTCGATTTCTCGCTACTTGTGGCATAATAGACAGGAAAATGTTCTTTATTGACATTAATGCTATCGAATGATTTTATGCACAATTGTATTAGTTACCATCGGTTAGACACAGTTTCAATTGTTATAGTCTTCAATTTTTGCTCAATACCCACTTGACTGGTTTGTAAACAATTGTTTTGTACTTTTAGTGCTGTGGTGTGGATTACCTTGTAAAATCCAATAAGAGTTCAAGTTTAGTAATCTTATTTAACTGTTTATCTCATATTATGTTACCACAGTTGCTTTTACTTCTTACTGCAATCTTATTTGAAACACCTAAGGTAAAGAAAATAGGTACATGTACATATAAAGAAAATAAAAACTTGACTCTGTAACTATGTGCAAAAAAAGGTGTCTACGAAACTGATTTTTATTTTATAAGGAATACATTTTGATATACATTGTTATTTCTGGTATCTGTTTTAGACTGAATTTCTTCCTTTCTGAAATATAGAAAGCAATATGTTACTATTACATCCACAAATAACCTGACCAATAGTTTTAAATCTATGACAAATGTTATTGACATGGATATCCCATAGGAATCAGTTTTGGGCTCTGTACTTTTTATTCTATAAAGGGTGTCTCATAATTAGCTGCCAACCCTGAACAGGCCGATTCTATGATCAAAACTAAGTAAAAAAGTTCATATGAACGTGGGTCCGGAAATGCTTCCTAAGGGCACAGGGACCCATTGAAGAGGGAGGAATGGAAATCATTTTTTTGCAATATCTCTCAATCGCGTTGTGATAAATGAATGAAATTTGGTATACACAGCTAAATTTTGATGAGCAATTTTATGGACTAATCCATTTATTTCCACAAGGTCCATTGGGGTGGGTACAGGGGGGCCCTTGGTACTTTGCGTGTGTAACTTTTTCATCTTTGACTTTTTAACAAATTGGACAGCAAATTCCGTTTTCCCGAAGTGTTTTACGTTAAAAAGGTACTGTTGTTTCAAATCGTTATCTTTAACGGTTTCTGATTTTCTCAGATTTCCCAAATTTCATTCATTTATCACAACGCGATTGAGAGATATTGCAAAAAAATGATGTCCATTCCTCCCTCTTCAATGGGTCCCTGTGCCCTTAGGAAGCATTTCCGGACCCATGTTCATATGAACTTTTTTACTTAGTTTTGACCATAGAATCGGCTTGTTCAGGGTTGGCAGCTAATTATGAGACACCCTGTATATAAATTCATTGGAGTGTTCGATAGAGGATAATTTCTGCACAATGTATGCTGACGATTTGTCACTGATTATTTCACATAGGTCGACAGATACATTGACAATTAATTTAGAAAATATGCTATACTCAGTATCTTAGTGGTTTAGTTACAATAACTTATATTCTAATACAGATAAAACGAAACTAATTAGATTCCATAATAGACGAAATAAATGTGATTCTGTCTCTGCAAACAAAAATAACTGCACTATTACTAATGGTGAAACAGACTGTGTCAAATGTGACGAAATTTGGGTTAATAACTTAGGTAACTAATTATAGGTAAAAATTCGCAAAACTATTAACCAGGGATAGGAAAAAATCGTTACTAAGAATTCGACGCCACTGAATATTTTGTGGAAAATGATGTCTATTTTATTCGAAAAACGAGGTATTTTTGAGTAAATCTTTCTTTCAATATAAAATAAGCCAGTAAAGAAACACCTTAATAAAAGATATACAGGGTGATCCATTAACAGTAGTGAACAGCAGTACATAGGAAATTAGACGTGCTACGACAATTTTTTGTAACACTATAGCAGTTGCGCTCTCTAGCAGTGAAGTTACAAACTTGAAAATATTTTAAATCAATTTCTTTTGGCCGTATTTGTAAATAGATTTTTTACCCCATAATCGTAGCTCGTCTAGTTTCTACAGCTGCTATGTACCGTTAATGGATCACCCTGTATCCCTGTACATATAGAATAGAAATGTGTATAAAATGAAGCCACTGAATAATGGAGTGTATTCTTTGTATATTTTATAAACCGGAATCTTATACATAATTTGACAACGCCACAATCAGTTATTTTAATTTATTTATCCATAAAAATATAAAAGGACATTTAAATTCCCTAATGATTTGCATCTACTTCTGTTAAAACATATTTTATATCGAACTTTGTATCGACTAATAACAGAACTGTTGCACTTTTCTACACTAATGGATCACCCTGTATCGTCTACCTGAAATATTATATTTACTAAAATAGTTTTTTAAATATTACTGGAATTTCTTGAAAGCACTTCCTGGTAGTAAAGCTTTAATTTATTAGTCATAAATTAGCATAATTATTTTGCAGTCGCAAACGCAGTAAATCATGTTTAATATAAAATCGATTCAATTATCGAGTTAATACAAATAGTGGAAACATGAAAAATTTATTTCAGATTTTCGAAAAAATATTGTGAATGAAATAATGTTTTTTTTCTGTAACGGGAAAAAAGTTTGACATTTTATCTCTGTTGACAGGTAACAAAAAGTCACTTTTTATGAAATTGCTGTTTTCCCCGGGAAAAAAATGAGAACTTTTTTCCCGGAAATATACAATATACATAAGTAAAGGTAGATATTTAATTTTAGAATATTTTATTATATAGAAGTTACATTTCCTTTACACCAAAAGTACAATTATTAAATGTACATTGCATAAATGACATATTTCTTAAACTACTCGGTATAACAGTCGAACTTTCTTGTGTATTTTTTTCTGTCATGGACACAACAGCCGTTGATGTACCTGGTCGCAAATCGGATGTTATTTCAGCACTGCCACACGTTCTAAACACTGTATTAGCTATTTATGTCCTGTGTGCTACCGATTCATCAATATATCCTTCAACGACCGTTGATGACTTCCAACCGCCATGTTTCTTTAGTGTCATCAAGTCTCCCCCAGATTCAACTAAAAATGTAGCAGACGATCTCCGAAATGAATAACCTGTATAAGAGTTAGCATTGTCAAGTTGAAGAAAATTAGCTACTGTTTCAGGTACCTTATAAAACTATTTTTACCCACAACCTGACTGATACATTTCCCATTGCGATATGCATAAAACAGGCGACGATCTTTTGCTGCTGCTGGACGAAGGGCTATGTACATTCGGTAAAATTTAACATATTCTTCAGTAACTACAAATCTCCTGTTTACATCATTCTTTGTTTGCTTAAGTTTCACAATTAATAGCGTTCCCGAGTGTTCAATATCATCTAATCTTACCTGGCTGATTTCACAAATTCGACAAGCTTCTGCAATCCCAAATACAACAACAACCTTGGCCATTAAATAAACTTCATCAGGAGCGTTATTTAAAAAATCATTAATTTGTATAATCGTAAAAATCGCAAATTTCTTGGGCGTATAACCTTTCCCATTTTGTTTCAGAAATGTAATTAGTTTGAAATATTTTGAAATGTCTATATTATTATTGGATTTTAACATACTTTTAATCATTGTAATAATAATAATTGTAATAATAATTCGACCACACTGTTGATGGCTTTTGTTGTTGTGCCAGTTCCACAAAAAAAAGCCAATAACACCGTCTCCGAAAAAGAACTGCATATCTTTTTCATCTTCCATTCCATAAATCTTGAATACGCGGTTTCGTAAATTTTCCGCTATTTAGCTGGCAATAATTTTTTCGAAACGCTACTTTCGCTACTTCTACTAACTCCGGTGGAGTCAGAGAAAACTCGGAATCAGACATTTTTTAACTTTATATTATTCAAAATAACTACTAAACAACCACTAAGTTTGCAATTTTTAAATCAAATCACAGAATTAAATTGACAGATATTTGATTACTTTAAAGGTTTCCTTAGCAACGCAGATGTAATTGTCGCTATAAGTATAACAGCCTACCAATTTAAAACTTTAGTGACTAATATTTTGTAATAATGTTTTTTCAATATTAAACCGTTGTATTTCCCGTCACAGAAAAAAATAGTGTATTATACACGGGAAAAAAGTAGATTTTACCTCTCTATTTTTTTCTCCCTCCGCTTCGCGTCGGGACACAACACAACCTCGAGCTAAGCTCTAGTACTTTTTTCCCTTGTATAATAAATATCCATATGTACCTAGAAAGAAAAATAATATGACGTCACTTATTTTGCAACTGTCGAATACCTATGTATAATAATTAGTTATTTACACTATAAAGGAAGTAAGTATTATTTACTAGTCGAGGACGATTTGCACCCGAGCGGAGCGAGGGCTGGAAATAGAGTCCGAGACTGGTAAATAATTATACTTAACTGCTGAGTGGTGTACCTATAACATTTTATCTGCTCCGACAATCCTTTATGGTTCATGAAATAAAGATCAGGTTTTATTTTTTGACATTTCTTAATCAATTAATTTTGACATTATTCGAAATCTTGCAAACTCGCCTTGGTTGTTTGGAATTTGTCGTTTCTAAGGTGTTTATAAACAAAGCTACATACTGGTGTTTCTGAAATGTTACTGCTAGCATATTTTATGGAGAAGTCAAGAACTTAACGTCACCGTCGAATTTCTGGAGTGAATACTCAATGATTAAGTCAACTATTTTCATAGAGGACAACGTGGATAACTGGATATATCAAAATACCTCAAGCTGAGAGCATTTTTGAAACGTAAGAATGGCGGCTATACACGTAAAAAGTCAAATGTTTTTACAAGAAAACGATTTTCTCGTTCAGGCACCCGATAACACATGTTTGCTAATAAAAGTAGTGACGGTCTTAGGCATTGCAGGAGCATGATGTTCTGATGAGTTATGCAAATTTACTTTGGACAACGTGAATTTCAAAAATTTCGATGACATTATTGTAATTACAATTCCAGATTCTAAAAATGATATGTCACGTACGTTTACAATTACTTCTCGTCTGGGTTCTGTTTCTCACCTAGAAATTCTCAAGAAATATATCAAGATTAGATTGGAAATTAGAATTGAAATTTCACGCTTTTTTATGCGCTATCAAGAAGGTAAATGTTACAACAAGTCGGCAAGAATACCCTTTCTATGATTCCTAATAAGATTGCACATTTTTTTAAACTAAAACATCCTGAAACATATACAGGCCATTCATTCCGAGGAACATCGGCAACGTCACTGGCTAATAGAGTAGTTGATGTATTAGCAATCAAGAAACATGGTGGGCGGAAGTCAACCACAATTGCAGAAAGTTATGATGCTGACAATTTAAGTAACAAAAATAAAATAGCCAACAGGATTCTTTACAAAGACACTTCAACTCCAGGTTCTAGTAGTACGTCGGATCATGCTTTTTGATGAATAATTCAGATAATATTGAGCCTCCGTTGACTAAAATGGAGCGGTCAAGACATTTTGAAAAAAATGGACAATTAGTAAACGCGAGGGGAATAATTACCCAGATTTTATAAATGTTACTAAATGTAATAACTGTACAATTACTATAAATATTCATTCATAATAATTAATAAAATGTAATGTTCATCGAATATTTCTTTTTATTTGTTCATAAAATATGCATTTATAACTCGAAATCGCTTTTTTCCATGGCGATGTAAGTTACCTCACTTACCTCCCATTGTCCATAGCAGCTTCCTCTTCTACCAAAAAGCAAATAAATAATATTTATTTTATAAACGGAGATATTTACCAATAATATAGAAAATTAATGAAAAAAAATTAACTTCTTATAAAATGTATCGTTTATCATTTACGAGTATATTGTTTTAAAATTCTTAAGGTTATCATAACTTGCTAAGTAAAATGTTTGTTTGCTTTTACTTTTTACCCTTCCAGAATTTCGTTTGATAATACCTACAAAGACATTTTTTTCCAATTTTTTATCACTAAAACTTAAAGTTGCTACTTAACAATAAATTTTAAAAGAATTTAAAATAAATAGTCTCAAATCTTAAAGTTATAAATTAGTTCTCAATAAATTTGAAATTCAAAGCGACAAATACTTAGCTGCCTTTTATATTCTACCTATGTTAGGTTAATATAAGAAAATATGTACAAAAAAATTGTACTGTTTCAGTGATGCTGTTACTGTCAGAGAAAATACCAGTGAAGATACCACTCCAGTTGCTGATGTCGCGGACTCTGCAAGTCGTAACAACATTAACGAATTGAACAGTTCTTGTGCAGATTCCGGCCACTTCGAAGACTGCACCAACTCCTCCGTACATTCCAAAGACTCCGTATTGTTCGATGATCACAGATCGGTAAGTTAAAAAAAACTTCCTTAACGAATCAACATCTACGTAGTAGACACATTTAATAATATATTTCCAAAAGTTTTGTTTAGAAGTTACAAACAAATTAAAAAAATATAATTTCATATTTTAATCAAAGTAGCCTAAATAATAAAATTATTTTCAAATAAAAAAATACAACATAATTATTGCAAATATAGCAAAAACAACAAAGAAAAGTGAAAATAATTACAATATTTTTGCGATTTTTTTTTAAAGTACTTATATTATAGGTAGCATCTTCATACTTGGCCAAAAAAATATTTTTGATATAATAAAACATTACACCAATTTTCGTTAAAATCGGTCCGATAGTTTTCCGAGAGTAATAATTTTGCAATCCAGATTTTTGAAAAAATATTGAAATTTTTGCAAATTTAACCGAGCCTAAATTGAGACTTCTAGATACTTGAAAACTTTATCGCATAAAAAAGGGCACTCAAATTTTAAAATGCGTTCAGAAAAATTGAAATCCGTTAAGAAGAGCCGTGGTAATTGTTTAAATATATACGTAATTTTTGCGCTTATAAACAAATAGAATAACTATAAATTCATAATAATTACTATTTTTTTTAATTATGCTTTTAAAGTACTCGAAAAGACGCTTCTTTAAAAAAAACGTGGTGATTCATTAATTGGTTCCAGAGTTATAGTCGATCAAAGTTGACCGGCATTTTTGGCGTAACTACGAGGTCTGGAGGGCTGTTTTTTAAACAAATACCTTTGTCATTCCGAGTACTTTTCGAGAGAGAATTTGCAAAAGCACGGCTACTCCGGCCGACTCGAAATTGAAATTGCGCGTTCAAAATAGCGGCGCGCTTAAAAATTTTGATTATCTTGGTTTCTAGTGGTCTGATTTTGATGTTTTTTTTTTAAATCGATGTCTCACGAGCTGAAAAGTCCAAATATCGCATTGTCTAACTTCTAATACTCAATTTTTTCTAAAACTGTTTTATCATTAGACATCGGAAACTTTGTGGCGATAATCAAATAAATAAAACGTAGTAATATATCTTCGCGTTGGAGTAGCAGAAATAGGCTAAATATGTGGTCTAGCCGCGACTGCCATAAAAACACGTGCCATACACTCGATCAAGCAAAGCACTCACACACTAACAAACGACAATGAAATAATGTACGGCCAACGTCCCTCAGCAAAAAACCTGGATTGTTCACCGGCATGTCAAGCCGACAGGACAGGCATTAGGTGCCGCTAGATACGTAAAAACACGTGCCATACACTCGATCAAGCAAAGCACTCACACACTCACAAACGACAATGAAATAATGTACGGCCAACGTCCCTCAGCAAAAAACCTGGATTTATCACCGGCATGTCAAGCCGACAGAGCAGGCATTAGGTGCCGCTAGATACGTATCGAATAAATAGATCGATGCGAAGCTTCAGATCAGAAGCATATATGTACATGCTATTCTACAATCCTATAATGTAAAGAGTGCAGTTATAGGAAGGCAACGTTTGTGTCACTTTTTGATAGAATAAAATTACATAAAAGAGAACCTGGCCTACAGCCAACCATGTACCAAATTGCCGCCCTAACATTTCCGATCCCTATTTACCGTTTCCATTTAATTCACAAATAATTATTTTGATCCTTTCTTTACAGCCCTACAAGTCAAAAGCTGTTGAGACCGCAGATAAAGGAACAACAGCAAATCTAAGCATCGATCATGATTCTGAACACACGAAGATAATTATGGAATATGAAAGACGTCTTCAAGAGTTGGTCAGAACCCATGAAGATGAGTCCTACCAATTAAAACAGAAACATAATGATAAAATCGAGGAACTGTTGCAACGAATTACAGAGATTAATACAAGGTATGTGGTAAGTTGTTATTTCTATTCAATCCTGATCTGTATTTGTATGTCAATATATTCGTATAATGATTATTATTAGGTAGGTAGGTATTATTTTATGGGGGTCATGCAGAATCTAATACCCGTTTTGCTTTTAAATGAAAACTATTTAACAAAGTGAAAATATATATTTAATATTTACTCATTATGAACATTCAGTAACTCGCACACAATTTTTATACATTGTCGATATCTAAAACTAAACATTTTTCATAATAAGGGAGCAGCTCTGACGTCTATAGTCAATTTTATTTGGTGATCCCTTTCAAATCACTCCATCCAAGCCATGATGCCATGATTTTAAAAAGTGAAAATCACTTGGTGGTATATTTGAACAATTTGCCACCAAAAACGTTAAAGCAGAAAGTCCCGAGTTTCCAACAACACGTGGATGGGAATTCTCGTGTCCAGTACTCTTGATCAACAGTCATCAATGTTGGAGCTGAAGTTATTCAATTACGATTTTACCCTATTGCCACTTAAACAAAAAGAGAATGAATTTTCTCTTTGAAATGGTTCATTTGGATGAGGAAAACGTAATATTAATTGCTACTGTAAAAATCTAAAATTGGATCAGTTTCATACAATGTGTTGCAAGCTTCTGTGTTGTTTCACGTATTCTGTTTAAACTTCTCGGCATTTCGAAAGACAAAGAAGCCCTGAAGTTGGAGATGAAGACATCTGGTCAGTATTTGTATTTGCTGTGAGCACTGTTCCATGGCGACCCAATTCACGGTTTGAAATCACTGACCTGTGAAGTTCCAGGCCTTTTATGGACAAGGCATTTCGAACTAGCTACCACGTTGTTCGTCCTCACTTCGTGGAGTCTGGAATCTGGACTTGTGGGGAGGGCAGCTATTTAAGCTACAGCACTTAGGCCCCATTGGGCCCCTTGTATTTCCTCCTGTTATGAGATCAATCCATCTGCACCGTGAACCAACCTGTTAAAGGGAAAAAGGTGATGAAGTTGCTCAGGGGCAACTCTCAAATATAAGCCACAGAAGGCCAACGTTCTCCCAATACGGATTCCCTTGTTGACGAGCCGGCAGTCCATTCACATAACACAAGTAGTACTATCTCGACTTCCTGTTCACAACCCCTGCAAAGAGGTGTTTCAAACTTCCGCATGCCGCAGTTTGGATGCCTGTCATCAAGCGAAGATTCGACCTAGACATGGTCAGGTATTATTTGACTGTATCCTTGCTAGGATATTCTAGGAACTCCTTAACAAATTCTCGAAATTGACAACTATTTTTTCATCTCGCCATTTCAAAGCTCTTTGTGAGTGTTTTCCTTAATAATTTCAGCAAGTGCTGACAGCAGAAGCACATTGGAGGGACCGGATTAAAAAATATTGAGACCCTATGAACTTATCATCTTCTTCAGTAATGCTTGTCTACTGTCTGTGTAGATTCTGATGGTTTTACCCGTGTCTGCCTACGGGCAGTTTCTTTGACATATGTTAATAATGTGTTTTGAGTTTTATTCCCAGGAATAAAGTAGGGGATCCGCGTTGCATCTTCTGTGAAGATTCGATCGAAATTCGTCACTTTCACGTCACATCATAAAGAACTAGTATGCAGTTCTATATGTTAGTGATTTGACATTTGCGGTATATCAAGAGTAAAAGATGATCGTGTTTGATGGCTTGATCCACTCGTTACTGTAAGTCATAAGATAGACGAACGTCTTCATCGTGAAAATCTTTTCCGTGTTTAAACGAACGTATAACAGTTTTTTCTTATGAAAAACTTACTCACAACACACACTATAATGGAATGACGGTAATGTACTAGAATCTGAGTGACCCTCATAGAACTTATAGACTTGTGCGAACTTAATGTAATAAATTTAGTTTTTTTAATTATTTTAAAAGAGCTTATCACCTAGATGCAACAACAACTGTAATATATTTTTTTCTTAATGTGAATGTAGCCTCACGCTTTAACAGTAACCTAACATTATCTGGAGAAACTCTTCTATAAAAAACGATGAGATGAAATGCGAAATACCTATGATAAAAGACATTAATTTTATAGAAATTACATCAGCATTTCTGTCTTTGTACATATTTTCATCTATACATAACTACTTATTAAGACATTAACTACGAATTTAGAAGTAAGTGATAGTGATAGGTAGATGCATGATGTTGTGTATATATCTAGAAGGTACATATTTTGTTTATGTAGTTTAGGTATGTTTTTTATATATTTTTATATATTTTTTTTTACTTAAATAACTAATATTTTTTACTAATTTGTCTGTATACTTAATTCACTGCCATTATTTATAATCAGCTAATGCAATTTGGACAGTTGGTTTTGTTTAAGGATTCATTTAGCCGTTCAAGCAACTAAATAACCACCCATAGAAAGCTAGACTAACCTTATCGAATTACTTCAGTTCTTTTATAAATTATCAATAAAATTTTACTATTAGGTATACAAATTACTTCCGTTTAAAAATTTTTGCGGAATAGATGTTCAAATTATGTGCATAGTTCAAACTCAAGAGTGTCCAGATAGCATTCGCCTTTAATGTATTTTTTATGCTACTTATTAATAGAAATCTTGCTTTTTATTTTTTGTTATATATTGATCCATAATAAAAGTGATCTATAAAACAATGTTCACATATGATCTGTCTAATTCAAAACAGATTGTAACAAACTAATATTGTTAATAAGGCTCGGTGTATGCTGTCTACTATTATTTTCCCGAAATAAATGCTGAATTTATTCATGGATATGTTATTCCATTGATCTAACCTTTTTCTACACCATCCTAGAGTTACTGAAAGGAGATGAATTTTGTTGGAAACAAAAAGCTTCAGTGCATTTTAGACGTGTACTATTTAATTAGGTAACATCAAAAATATATCAAGAATATCTCGTCAAACTTCAAGAAATCCTTCTCTTAGACAAAAAAAGCAGAAGCAGCTTTTTTGCTTAAATTAATTAATAAATTAACTCATAGAAGTTATCCACATTCAATATTTGAAGAAAATCCGAACAAATTGTTTGATGGAAGTTAAATACTAAAAAAATATATATCTAAAGATTTTTATGAATTCAAATGATGCTTCAAAATGTCATAAAGAGCTATCATGGACCAAAACGAATTATATTTTCCGAAACTGACTTTATAGCTGAAGAAAAAAATAGAAAAAAATTTGCATTGCTTTAACATAATATATTTATTTTTTATAACAGTCCGTAAATTTTTCCTTCCATTTATGATCTATTTTATTATTTAACAAAAATCAATAAAAGTAAGTAAAATTCTGAAATATTCACAGTTTGACATTACACCTCTTATACTCATATTATATTCACAAAATATAAATATTTAGTAAAACTGTGAAAATTATTATTATAAAATTATGTCTTGGAAATATTAGTATTGTAAGATAAATAATATATAGTTCTAAAATAAATACATTCTTATCCACACAACTGGGTAGTTGAATAATATTGAACAGTAAAGGTAACTATACAAAAATAATTTAGTTTGTAGTGCCCCTCCTCTATGAGAAGGTTTCTAGGGGCAATACAGTATATTTCTATAAAAATAATATTTCAATACTGAAATCAAACGATGTTGTACAGTTATTGGCAATCATCGTGAGATCTTTTCTTTTCACTTCTAATAATACTAATATTATAATTATAATTATAATCATTTTAAGAATATTAAAGTATTTAGACTAATATCTAAACGTTTTTTATTATTTTTTTAGATACTGGCAGTTGGTGCCTGAACTAGAAACGGCGAAAGAGAGAATAAAGGAGCTGGAGCAACAATTGGAAGAGGCAAGTAAAAAATTGGAGGAACAGGAGGAAAAGGCCAAAGAAACGTATGCCAAAATGTATACTCAGGGTCAAGAGGCAGCCAAAGTGGAAAGAGAAAACATGGTAAGTTATCTTGCGTTGACAAACTTTTTAAATGTACTTTAACACTATAATTTATACTATACTTTATACAGGATGTTTTTGAATGGAGTAGCATAAATGATACCAGTGAATCTACATTTCAAAACAACACGATCTGCAAAAAATCGCCTTAGTAAAATGTTCACCCCTGTAGAGATATGGGCCATCAAAGTTTCCAAAAAAATTATGAAAATTGGCTGTAATTTGAAAACCGAACGAGGTACAAATAACAAATTTTTTACAGGTTGTTTACTAATACAGATGCGAGTTTTCAACTATTTTTCGAAAATTTTAACCCCTCGAAAGGGGTTGAAATAACCACCCCTCAAGCCATTTTTTGCCATAACTTTTATATTTCGTAAAAACTCGATATCCAAAAATACGCATTAGATAAACTGGTTCTTTTAGAAACTTTTACCTCTCTAGCAATTTTCCTTTAAAACTTTTCGTTTATTAATAAAAAAATAAAATGTATTACCATTCACCTCACACCGTATATGATTGCAATCAATCAAAGAAAAACTAAGTGTGCTGCTGTCATGCCAGTTGTCACAATTAACTCTTCTGTAAGTTGTCACTGTTATCAGCTAAATACTTTTTGGGTGTAAATTAACAAGAATTATGCCAAATTTTACTAATGATGAATATGTGGACATGCTACAAGTGTTTTTTTCTACGATCGTGCAAAATTTACTACTTATTGCACTACCTACTGTGCCAAAAGTTTAACTTTTTTTACAGAAGTACAAAAAAATATTGATTACAAGTTTAATCCAAGCATATCCATAAGTACCTAACGTCTGACATTGACAATTTGCGCATTTAATTTCCAGTTGTCAGTTAAAATTTTAATATTATGTAAAATACTGTTAAATAAAATTTGATATAAAAAGAATCGTAGAAAAAATGTTGCGTGCAATATGTGCAAAAAGCATATTTGTTGCACTTAACATGATTGCAGCTCTCAACTTCGTCTCGAGCTGCAAACTTCATGCATCGTACAACAAATACACACTTTTTACAGTAGTTGCACAAATAACTGTTTGAATGTCGCAGAAACTTTTATTAAATAGAAGTACAATGAAAACGAAACTAAGAAATAATTTATTATCAAAAAGAGAAAAAACAAAAAACTTAGTTAAAGGACATTTTCAAAATAATTGCCATTTCTTTCTAAACACAACCTAACACGTTTATCAAAGTTGTTACAGACTCGAGCAAAAATTATGGGATTGTTGCGAATCTCATCAGCCGTCGCAAATATTCTTTCCTGTAGCTCTTCAGCTCTGTCAACTGGGATCGCATAAACAATACTTTTTATATGTCCCCAAAAGAAAAAATCCATGGGCGTTAGATCGGAAGAACGTGCAGGCCAAGAGATAGGTGCCTCATTGCCGCGACCTATCCAACGATTCGGGTAATTTAAATTAAGCCA